TTCATGTATTTCAAACGTTCTTGTAATCAGTATCATTCATTTCATGGCTAATGTTACAAAGTGTGTTTTTTTTTTGAAAAAAAAACACTGCAACTAGGGGTTACACTTATATTTTTAGGACTTAATTGGAAAGTTTGAAAATTGAGACCAATTTAGAATTCAAGCAATAGTTTTGGGGATGTTTTGACGGATTATCCCAGATCAGTTAAGAGTAAGCAAATCGCTTGAAACGCCGACATGAAAAAAGCCACGTAGGCACGGAAAACGCACCGAGCCTGATCCCAGACGAAGAACTTACGAAGCAAGTGGCTCGGATAACATAGCTGGAGACAGCCTGTCACCAACAAATCCCCACTCACCTATTCCGCTAACTTCTCTCTCCTCTCTCCGCATCTTGGCTTTCACTTCACATCCAGTTTTAGGGTTTTTCCTTCGATCTCCTTTTATTCGATTCTGCATTTCGTCTCCCGACTTCGACGGATTAAGACTCTCCGCTTCGTAAGCTCTTCGATGACCTAAATTTCACTCATTTTGGTTCTGTTGGAGTTTGTTGCGGTGTTACTGAAGTTACTGTTCTTTTTATAAATTTTCGGGGACTTTTAGCTTAATGATTATACTGCATGCACCGTTGATGGAAATGAATGTTGAAGATTTGACGTTTAGTTCGTGTATTTCATTCTTTCTTTTGGAAAAAAATGCTTGGATTTGGATTGTTGGTTTGCTAAAGATAGTAATTTAGTATATATTTGAATAATTTGTAATTGTGATAAACGGAGGGAAAAGAATAGGAAAGAAATGTATAGATTTTCAACTTATCCTTTAGAATTATATTAAGCTTAGAAGAAATCATATATGTTCTAGTGGGTTAGTTACATAAAGAAAGAATGGAAAACTTTCAGTCTACATTTATACCGAGGTTTTACGTCATTCATGTTATATATATGTTTCTGAGTTGTGAATGTAAGAAACTAATTTGCTGTGTTATTATGGTGGACTTTTTCTATGAGGGAGGGCATTAAGTATAATGTGCTTTGTATGCTAACGATTAGTGAGATATGTTAGGGCTAGGTATATTTCATCTTCTTTGTCGTTAAGGGCATGTGTAGGATATTGTTCATATTGTGTTAAATAGGATTATTGGATGATAAAATGGAGCTAATTGTTGGGTGTTATTACTTGATCATTCCCTTTGAATTTTTTATAACCGTTTTGCTTGTATACCTATGTGGATATTTTGATTGAACATCAGATATAGTTTATTAGGGATTGATTTTAGTATATTTCTCTAAATGATGTAAAGTGTAGCTTTTGATTTGCTAATCTTGTATGAACTTGTCTTTCATACACGGTGATTATTTACTTAAATATCTCAAGTTCTTACCTAATATCTGTTTTTTTTTTGTCTAGTCAATATGATCTGTTACTTTTGGTTATGTTGTTTTGGAAACATATGGCCTGTATTTCCATTGATTGGTGTCTCAAATGTTTAATTAATATGGCACACAAGAATTCGTTGTCATTTTAAAAGGACATGCAGCAATTTGTTCTCATACTGACATAGACGTTAGTAGTGATGCGTTACTTTTTCTTATGCTAATGCTGAAATGTATGCCCTTGTATTGTCATTGATTGTGGTCTTGATTCTTGAATGTATAATAAAGATGACATGCTGGAATTCGCTGTCCTGCTGACATAGTCGTTAACGGTGATGCGGTACTTTTGCTAATATTGATTGGGAAACTTTGGCCTGAATTGTCACTGGTTGTTGTCTCAAATTTTTAATTAAGCTGAGACGTAAGAATACCCATGTATTAGCTAAAATTGGTAATGTTTTCTTATTTTTTCGAACTTGAATAAATGAAACTGGCGTTACGATTTTGTATGGTAATTTGGAATTTGGATTAGTCTGTGCCAGTGCAACATGACCTGTAAGCCGTTTCTGCCATGTAATGTAATTATTGCAATTCATATCTGTTCACATATAGACTGCTATATAAGTGGTCTTACTCGGGCTTTCATCCAACACATTTGAAGTTCTTTCATGAGGATGTTTTGTGTATTAGGTGATTGTGTGTCTCTGACTCACTGACTTGCTTCGTGGTCATATGCGTATGAATGTGTATCTTTGTTTCATTATAGATTTTATTTAACCTCTTTACAGACTTTGAAATGTTTCTTTTGTTATAGATTTTCACTCATAGTTTTTTTTTTGTTCCACAGGTTCTTGGATCAAATATTTGAAGTCTGAGCGAAAACTTGAAGGTTAGTTGGTGAAACAGCTGTCTACTTGTGATATTTGTTGAGTTGATTAATGCTTGACTTACATGGATCTGTTGGACCAGCAAGAAGATAAGTTCTATTGATTGTGCTGCTTATTCATCTTCTTAGGTGGTTAATCTTTATGTCATCCAGTATTGGTTCAGTAGTAGCTTCTAGATATAATTCTCAGAAGGTTGCTTGTACGTCGGAGGATCCATTGCGTCCATGCTAGCAGGGAGCATGCGTGGAATCTGTGTTTCGGGTAATGCCCCTGACGATAATTTTTGCCGAAGCATTCGGTGTGTTGACAATTTGTCTAGTTGCTCTGTTGATTCTTCTTGGTTTGGTGTGCATCGGATACACATTTTACTTGCGTTCGCATGTTCTTAGACTAGAATTTAATCAGTTCAGTATCTTCAGTGGTCCTTGGATAATCAGAATCACATTTGTTTTGTTCACCATTTGGTGGGGTTTCGGTGAAATTCTACGGCTAAATTTTCTAAGGAGGCAAGGCAAAGTGTTTAATGCACTTGATTTTAAATGGCAAGAAAATGTCTGCAAATGTTACATCGTTTCAAATCTAGGTTTTGCAGAACCTTGCCTCTTCCTCACTCTCGTGCTTCTTCTCCGTGCACCTTTACAGAATATAGACACGGGAATCCTCAGCCAAAAATGGAATGGGAAAATAGCAGGCTGTGTTCTCCTCTTCTGCCTCCCATTGTTTATTCTTCAACTATTTCTCATTTTGATTGGATCCGAGTTACGCGAGGTTAGGAGAGAGTTACCACCGTATTTCACTAGAGTAGCTGCCCCGGGGATGCAAAATTCTGATGACATAGCTCTTTGCACTTACCCTTTACTGAATACTATTCTTCTCGGGCTTTTTGCCACTGCCTTGACTGCCTATTTATTATGGCTCGGAAGGCGGATTTTGAAATTGGTTATCAATAAGGGTTTGCAGAAGAGAGTTTATACATTAATTTTCTCGGTTTCGACTTTCCTTCCATTAAGGGTGATTTTACTTGGTTTGTCTGTTTTTTCTAAACCAGAGAAATATCTGTTTGAAGCTCTTGCATTCTCAGCTTTTCTTGCCGAACTATGTTGTGCTGGGTCTGTATTGTCATACTTGTATACTGCCCGGTGGCGGATTGTCTAGCCCTTGGGAATCTTAATGACTTGGAGGCTCGGAGAAGGGTTGTTTTCGATGATAATGACACTGCTTCACTGTTTGCTAATCTGGGTCATCCTGAAGGAAGTGTTGCAATGAGCCTAGAACGGAGTTCCGACGCCTCTACTAAGCGTGGATCAATTTCTTTTCGGACTTTCGTAAGAGAGGAGACCTCATCCGGGCCATTTGTGGAATTGAGCCTCTTTTCTCCTAGCCGGGGTGGGAGCCCTCCAGGCTCACCTGCTCGTGTTGGCTGGCCGATGAGGTCTCCTACTAGACATGTTCATGGGCAAGGAAACTGAGTGGTGGTGAATATCAATTTTATGGTAAAGAAGAAACTGATTGTAAAGGGTTTAGCTTTCAATCAGGATTTTCGTTCTTGGGTGCTTTGCTTTCCCTGTAGTTTTAGATATGGTGGTTTTTGCTTCATGGAATTTTTAATCGAAACCCTTTTTTGCCTTTTAATTTATTAAAATTGTAGTTATTTATTTCATGTTATAAGTATATTTTAAAATAATATATATTATAAATTTGTTAAGTAAACCGGTTATAAAATTTTGACTTAAAATTATTTAGGTAAATGGCATGGATGACCTCCTAATTATGGGGATTTTAAATACACCGATTGTCATTGGATTTTAAAAAACTTTAATTTTAACAGAGTTTCAATATTATTTTCTGTCACTAGAACGTTAACGATGAGATGGCAATGTTATTTTTGGCTTGTTTTCTGTAAAAAATTGACTATTATTAAATCTTCCCTTGTCACTAATCATCATTTGTTGTATAATTAGTATAAAAATGTTTTCGTTTAATTCATCTTTCTTCTCATCCAATTGATTTCCTATAAAACTCAATTTGAATCAATGAAGATTTATTTAAAGGTTTGATGTTCTATTAACATTCATTCCTTCAACGGTCGTCTGATAAGATTAATTTCAATATGTTGTTTATCTTTTCTAAGAGAATATTTTTCACTATTTATAATTTTTGAACAAATGCTAAACTCTTAAATTCTAAAAAAAATCTTAAATCATTAATAATGATGTTTTTGTGATTAATTTCGTGAATTTAAAAGAGATATTAAAGGAATATAAATTGATAAAATAATAGAAATTAACAAGACGAGTTCACTAATGTTTAGAGTGACCGTAAAAGAAAAAAAATGATGGTTTCAACGATGACTGAAAATAGGTAAAAAGTCATAAATTTAACTGATAAAAAAATAAATTGATAAAATAATAAAAAACAATGAGACGAGTTCATTAGTATCTAAAGTGACTGCAAAAGACATAAAAAATGATAGTTTCAAAGGAGACTGAAAAATAGATAAAACTTAATAATTTTAATTTCTATATCAGCATTAAACTGTCACATCATTTAACTATTAATAATTTAACGATCTATTAAAAAAAGAGTTTAATAGAAAAATTGAAGTTTTTAAAGTTAATGACAAAATCGATACATAAACCAACTTCAGTGACTAACATAGTAGTTTACTCTAATAAACAAATACTATTTTTCCCCTTTCGAGAAAATTTACTCAATATATTAGTGGTACGCCAAAACCCTAGCAAAAGCTTCACCGCTACTTTCAACCTGCTACGCCAAACAAAGACGAACAAAAAGCAAAAAAGTATTTGAAATCAAAAGGCAATGGCCACATTCGAACAAGCTCCGCCCGGAGATTTGAAATCCGGGGAGAAGATCTTTAAGACTAAGTGCGCTCAGTGCCACACCGTCGAAAAAGGCGCCGGCCACAAGCAAGGTCGGTTTCTCTCAGATCTGATTTATTTTGTGCTCATTTTTGTAAGATAATAATTTTTTACTTCTATCAGTTTGCTTGTATAGCGGCTTCTTTCATTTCATTTTCGTGTGTGTTATTATTATTATTGGTTAGGAGTTTTTGATCTTGCTTGTTCTTCTGAACAAAAGAAGAATCTTGTTTGTTCTTAGATTTATTAATCTTATTTATTATTGTTATTATTATTATTATTTGGTTACAAAGCTTATTTATTATTATTTGATAACTGGAACCGGTCCGGTTTTAAATTTTTAAAAGGATGTGTATGTTTCTCGAATACAACGATTTGCTTTGAAACGATATGATCCGGTCCTGACCCTAATCTGAAGTCTGATATGATCGACCAGAATCCGAATCTGATTTGATAAAAAGGTCAACTACCTGAATTCAAAGTGACCTGAACTATAATTATCCGAACCCAAAATGTTCTGAATTCAAAGCAACCTTAACTCCAATTTGGATTGATCAAACCAAAAACCAACCCAACTTGCCTAATTGATGTGATCCACCAAACTTCACTACTATGTCGAAGTTTAAGGAATCATAAGCTGAGATTTATTGAAATTTGCAGGGCCAAATTTGAATGGGCTTTTTGGGAGGCAATCTGGTACAACACCAGGATACTCCTACTCTGCTGCTAACAAAAATATGGCTGTAATTTGGGAAGAGAAGACATTGTATGACTATTTGCTTAATCCCAAGAAGGTATGTGCAAGTCTTTTATCATTTTCAGTTTGATGATGTGAGATTTGCATGCTATTGTATGTTTGTAAATTTTGAATACGCAAGGAAAACCATGCTGGTAATGAATTCTGTTTCTTTATGTGTCAATAGTTTTTATATATTACAATGAGCTTGTTTTTTAGGATGTGAACTGATGACTGTCCAAAACATGAAAACAATTACTTCGTTTTTTTTGGGTTGGGGGGGGGGTTCGAAAACTAGTGAATCCCAAATCAGCATAACATTGTGTTCTAAGATAAATTTCCCCCAACAAGTGTGTTTCCCGGGGTTTGAAACCGATACTACTATTGAGGAAGTGTTAACATGGAAGTGGTTGATATTGATTGCCTTGTTGTCAGCATAACATTGTTTGTGCTACTGATTGATCATCGGGTTCCATTAATGAAATATGACATTTGGGTGAAAAAAAGTTTTTTTGCTTTAAGTATAGGATATGAAGTGATCAGAATTTATTTATGTACAAAGGGGGAACACGCAAAGAATGTGATTTCTTACAAGATTGTTCTCATATGGTATAGTAGTTGTTCACGTTAATGTTGATTTCTCCTGGTATAGCGCCTTCTTGCTTGTTCGTGTCATTTTATGTGATAATTGCATTATTGCATTACATATGCCAATTAGTATTACTATTCTTGCATTTTGGCGATATTGTGCATTTGGTGCAGTTTTGTGGGTTTAGATTGGTATGAAGTATAGATATATCTACACTACTCTCTCTCTCCTCGAGAATGATATTTCATTGTTGAATTTGTTTGCCTGTAAATTTGATTTTGTGCAGTATATTCCTGGGACGAAGATGGTTTTCCCTGGATTGAAGAAGCCGCAGGATCGTGCCGACCTCATTGCTTATCTGAAAGAATCGACTGCCTGATTCATTGCCCTTTTTTTTATTATAATCTGTTTCGGAACCGAAACAAAATGAAGAATTTTGATCAATGATTTATTTTCCTTACAGGAAAGAAAAGAACCAATGCATTGTTAAAATAAAGAAAACCTTCAAAACAACTCCAAGATAAATTTGGGTGTTGGAGTTGATGATTTTGTCTGTGTGCAAAGACCAATCTTACGAGGATGAAACATTTGATGATTTTGTTTAGCGACAGTGGCCCTTAACTTTATTATTTTATCTTATATTCTCATATGATGAACTTATTTTCTTGGCTTTATTATCTAAAACATAATAAAATTGTGTTTGCATCTTAATTTTTTAGTGCAGGCGATTGAGTTGTTTGGGTTTAAAGTTGAAATTTATATTAATAAAAAAATAAAGTTTTTATTAATTATTTTAAACAAAGTAAGATTGAAAGTATGATGTGAATAGAATAAATTGAGTTGGCACACTTATTTCATGAATCTATAAATGATTCAAATCCGAACCAAAACAAATGTAAAATTCATCATTAATTCTAAGTTCTAATATTTATACGTGTAAATATTGAAGGCCAAATTACTTAAATGTCATCATGAAAAAATAATTTTTAAACTAATAGTTATTTTTAATTAATTTTTAAAATAGTATTATTTTATTAATAAAATGTATTATGAGAAATTGAAAATAAAGATATATTAATCAGTTATATTTTATAATTCTTTTCAAAAAAAATATATTTTTCATGAATTAAATTTTAAATGACTCAATAATTATATGAAACTAGAGACGGTAATTGAACATGTCATATCATATTTTTAATCGATTTGAAGTTGATACGAGTATAATATATAAATATATATTATAAGAATCATTCCTAAACATATAGAAGAAAATTACATTATTGACCTATGACATATCAAATTGAATATTTTTCATTCTAGATAAAAAGTTAAAAAATTAACACTATAAAATTAAGTTGAAATCCACCAAGTTATAACAAATTGTCATTCTACGTAAAATCTTAAACTACCTCTTTGAAATTTAATGTTGCTTTTCAAATACTTAGTCACTTCTACTTTTTGACATACACATGTATAATTCTTTCATGGATACCATTGAAATTAATTAAAAATCATTAATATATATTTCTTTAAACATATACTGATTAGGAAGTATCAACACGACAGTGGCAGTGACCTGAGAAACATAAACAAATGATATCCTTATTTTGTAACTGATTAATTTGTACATAATTCCCAAAATCAATCAAACATGTAATTCATTCCATATATATATATATGTGTGTGTGTGTCAAAAGTAATTATACAGTCTGTACAAAAATAAGTAATATTAACGTGGATTTTTTTTTTAATTTTTGGAGTGATGGCTCTTTGCATTCCCATTAATTAACACTTCCCGGAATCCGCCAACTTTATAAAAAGAAGAAAAAAACCCAGAATCAAGTTTGCTTCACTCTCTGAATTTTTTTTTCAGGCTTTGAGACAAAACCCAAGAAGGTTTGGGGTTTTAAGATTCTAAAAGGTATGTTCATATCTGGACTGATCAATTGCAAAATGATTGGTTTTTGGCTTGATTTTCTGGGTTTAAGAAGGTTTTAGACTTGATTTTCTTTTCCCTGGAAAATTTTGAAGGAAAATGACAAAGAAAAATACGAGAAGGAAGGAAGATATAGCAGAAGATTACTGCTTTTTTTGCAAAGATGGTGGCTTGCTCAGGATTTGCGACTATAAGTGAGTTTGTTCCCAACTCTCAACCCTTTTACCCAACAGTTTACAAGTTTATCTGTGCAAAGAAACAATAGTACAATACAAAAGCCAATGGGTCATTGTTTATTCATTTATAAAGGTGGGTTGGGGAACTGGTACTGTGAGGAGGTAGGACCATTGTTGTCTCCTCACACTGCCCTAGACCATGTAGGGCTTAAGTGTGTGTGTATATATATATATATATATATTTATTTATGCATGAATGAATGAATGAAGGAATGAATGCAGATACTTATGGGTTAATTTATAAAATTTTAGGGGTTAAATTATAAAATTTTAGAAGATGAACACATATTATCAAAAGAAAAAATAAAGAAAATATCTAAAATATTTATAATTTGAACCCGGCCTGCCACTCGGTCCATCTGTGCATGTATATGTGTATGTAACATGGACAACACGTAGACAAGTTCCCACCGTGGTTGAATGTTGTCAACCGTGATGCTTTCTATTAGCTAAATATTATTCTAATTAAAGCAACCTTAATCTGTTTAAAATCAGGTTTGTGAACTTCTTTTATAGGAAATTTTAGTATAATGAAATGTATGGTGGCAACATTTCTTTGAACAAACTAATTGATGCAGCTTGGTTGTTACAGGAATTGTCTCAAAAGTTTTCATCCTCAATGCGTCGGAAAGGATGATTCTCTGTTGGAAACCGATGACAGGTGGCTTTGTCGTAAGTAACAAATTCCTTGTTTACCGGTGGTAGCCGAACATTACTTTGATCTGTGGCTATTTGCACCTTTCTGCTTTTGTTGTGAATGCCAAATGCTAATGCCAAATCGTTTGAATCAAACCGAGGCTCGAAGTTGCACCTCGTGTTTTTGTAATGGTGTTCTTCATCTTATGTTACATTTAACAGTTTATGTAACTTGCCTTGATATGATAATTGGATATTGTATTCTTACATGGTTCACAATGTTTAATTTGTATGCATCCCTGCTAAATTTCATCTATGTAGTTTCTTACTTCGACAAAATTTTCTCGTACTCAATGATGCATGATTGTTAGAAAATATCATATACTTGCTAACATGGATCTATGTTTCAGGTTGGCACTTTTGCGTCATTTGTGATAAACTGGCGAAATTTCGTTGCTTTTGTTGTCCATACGCCGTATGCGGGCGCTGTCTCTGGGATACCGAGTTTGCAGTAATCAAAGGGACAAAGGGTTTATGCAGTATGTGTTTAGAGCTTGCACTACTTATTGAAGACAAGAAGGATGTCAACTCCAGTGGGGTATGGGCTTCTTCCTACTAAGTTGTGTTAAATTTATTTAAAGCTTGCTTTCTCGAGATTCTGTTTCTTTTGGAATATATTTCTCATTCAATTTCAAGGGAACGATTGCGGTGTTAAATGGACATTCTCGACAAATTACCACTATGTTCTTTTCAGCCAAAGATCGTTGGCACGTGTTCATGAATGCTACTATCTATTACTTGTTCTTTTGACTATGTTCTGGTTGATTTGCAGGTGAAGGTAGACTTCAATGATACAGCAACATACGAGTACCTTTACAAATGCTATTGGGAGGTGTTGAAAGAAAAGGAAGGATTGACTTCACAGCAATTGTATTCATCAAATCATTTGTTGAAGAACGGGAAAAATTATGATGCTCAAGCGAACTACAAGTATAGAGAAGAATGCATCAGGGACTTTGATGATGATAGTATATCCGAGGGTGATGATTGGATAGAAAGTCGAGTGCAATGTAGGAAAAAAAAGAGAGGAAAGCTCTCTCCAACTAAAAGAAAGGGAAAGCCGAAGACAAGGGAATACCTTGGATGGGCATCAAAACAGCTTGTTGAGTTCCTGACATCCATAGGTAAAGATGCGACAAAAGAATTGTCTCAGTACGATGTCGTAACCGTAGTCACAGAATACTGCAACGAGAACAAGCTGTTTCTCAATGAAAAAAACAAAAAAGTTATATGTGATGAAAGGTTGCAATCTCTTTTGGGAAGGAAATCAGTACACAAAAACGGTATCCATAAGCTACTGACAGTTCATTTTTCTGAGAACTTGGAGAAATCAGAAGATTCAGTCGGATTTAGTTTGGAGGAAGATGACAACGTCTCCGTGCCTTGTAAAAGGCAGCGGAAGTCAAGCCCTGACTGGAAGTTTGAGGAAAAGGAAATAGCAACGAATCTGCGCCAAGGCTATTTGGCAGCAATAGTTTCTGGAAACATAAAACTTGTCTATCTGAAGAGGAGTTTGGTCCTGGAGCTAGCAAAACAACTCGATAAATTTAATGATAAAATCGTCGGAAGTTTCGTTAGGGTAAAATCAGACCCTAATGACTACTTTCAGAAGAATTCTTACATGCTAGTGCAAGTTAAAGGTAATTGTTTAATTTGTTTGTACTTTTACAACAAAGAAGAATCGAGAAAATCCTTTCGATAATGCATACAACTTGTGCCCGTTGCTTGCCTATTTGCTTCAACGGTTGATGTTCTTAAGGTGGGATGTGACTATCATGTATTTATATCTTGAATATATTCGAACTTAACCGATTTGGCCTCTTCTTCATATTACTTCTTCGTAGGTATAAAGGAAACTTCAATGAAGGAAGAGATGACTTCTACGATTCTCCTGCAAGTTTCTAACAGGCTAAAAGAAATTCGTGTTTGCGAGCTCTCAGATGACGACTTCACCGAGGTATTTTTTTGTCGTTGCCTTCTTCCATCTTGCACCATTACATATTGCCAAATAGGCTTAACTGTGTAGTCTTGTTTACAGGAAGAAATTGAAGATTTAAATCGGCGGATGGGAACTCGCATGCTTGAAAGGCCTACTGTTGTAAGTTCTTAATTAAGTTATTTCAGGAACATGCAGCTGGTTTACAAGATCACCTCTTGGAAATATGATTATTGTATTTTCTTTACATTTCTTTATATACTATATGGTATACAACTATGTTACTTGGACTCGGTTGTGAGTGTATGATACCAGTATGTATCCGGCACGGGTATGGGCTAATATATTCATGTGTCAGACACGAGTGTTAGACACACAAATACTTGGAGAAGAACAAAGAGCAAAATAGAACCACATACTTTGTATGAGAAATGAATTATTGATCGGAACTAAAAATAAAAGAAAATATTAACCTGAATGCGTTGTCGGACAGCTGCAGCATGAGCAGAAAGCCAGAAGCCTGCACGAGGATATGACAAAACATGTAAGTATTATGAATTCGGTATATAAGAATTAGGACTCTTTTGAAATTTAGTTTTTTTTTTACACTAATTTTTCTGTATTGTTTTGAATAACATGCCAGTGGATTAAGAACGAGTTGGTTTTGTTGCAAAGCCAGATCAACCGGGCAAATGAGAAAGGATGGAGGAGAGAATATCCTTTGATATAGTTTCACGAGTTTATCGTACCGAGATATATAGAAAACTGTTGATAATTAATCACTATTTCCGTAGGTAACAATGCTGATGTATATCGAAAGTAGTAAACATATCTTGAGAAGAAGGCAGTGAACCTTAACCTGTTTATACACTCTCGGAGTACATGTATAAACTGCAACTACTTCAGACACCTTCGGAACAGTCCCGCCTACTTCATGAGGTTCCAGAAGTGGTTGCGGAGGCTGCAGAGCCTGAACCTGCCTTGAAGGACTCTTTGAAAGAATATAGAGAAGAGCATAAAGCCTCATCTGAATCGGCCCCAGGATCAATTTCTAGAATTCAAAAATGCATTTCAGAGAACAATGTGGTCTCTAGTTGCCCGAATGATGGAATGGATGCTGCAGGTATGATGTGCTTACAAGTTGGGGTTGCTTATGGAATAAGTAACGGTGAAATATAATTTCTATTTCGTCTATTAGAAGAATAAGAGTATTAATGAGGCTAGAAGTTTGATCTGATTTGTTATTTAGTTCTATTTGTAGTGTCTATAATCACGCCATTAATCGATTCCACCGGTGCAACCAAAACCTATTAGTCAAATGATGATTTAAACGTTTTGGAGTCTCGAGGAGATAGAACGATCATGATTTACATGAAACAGATAGGAAAGACCCGAATTCTCGTCCTCTGGAGACTATACACTAATGAAATGCATTTGGTGCAGTTATTCCAGAAGGAAAGCAGCAAGACGTGAGGAAGGCGTTTTTTTCTACCAGCATTGAATGCAATGAAACGACGAGGGATCAAAATTCTCAAGTAAATCGAAGCTGTAATGAGACACCTGTTCCTCAGTTACAGGCACCAAAAGAAGAATCCACAGATAGCCAAACTGGAAGTGTTTGTCCCGGAAAGCAACATAAATGTGGCAATGCTACTGGTGCTGGGGAAACGCTACCTCGTCCTGTCCTCATTGGTGAGCATTTAAGCGATGATGGAATACAAGCTGCAAGGAAGCCTGTTCCTCTGTTGCTTCCTTGAGAAGAATCTGCAGACAGCCAAACTAAAACTTCTCATCAGATGAAGCAAAGTAAACATGGTGATGCTGCTAGTGCTGGGGAAAAGCTACCTCAGCCTATCGACGCTGGTGTGCATGTAAAAGTGGAAAACCACCAGGTCGAGGTGATTGATCTAAGCGACGATGAAATAGACGATGCAGCTATTGCAACGAGCCACCAAACATCAGCAGATCATGATTCCTCCATATGGTATTGCATTAGTCCACAAGGTAACACTAAGGGTCCTTACTCGATGCAATTGCTTAAACAATGGAGCGCGTCGAGCAGGAGCCATTGCGAGTTACACTTCAAAGTTTACAAGAGTGGTCAGAGACCGGAAGAGGCACTCCTTCTCGTCGATGCTTTTCGGCATAATTTCAACTGAAAATGAAAGGAATCTCCATCTTTAACTTCGAAGTTTTCTTTTTTGTTTTTGAATGCTTGATAGCTTGGAAAAGGTCTGAATTTATGAATAGTTTTTGCACATTACTTGACTTATTAATTAGTCCCTCTACTTTTAATTCAGTGATTTTGATCCTGTAAAATGTTCTATATGCACATTCAAAACTCACCAAATACAAACTCATCTCGATTTACTTCCTGATCAACTCCTTTGAGATAGAACCGGAACCCAAAACCCTTCATTTTGTTTGAGCTTTTCGATGGCTCTCCAACATGTTCTGTATCCTCGTCAGAGGAGTTTCGTCTTTCGATTTATATATGTTATAAAAGTTTTTATATATTTAAAAAATCTTCAATCTTTCTAAAATTAATTAAATTACCATTCTTTTTAAAAAAATATCAATTAAATATTTTTACTACGTTATTATAATGATAATGTTATCATGTTATCATCTTGAACCGTTACATCAATATAATTAATTGTTATATCAATGTTAGATATAGTAATAGATCAGATGAGACTGAGTTTTTGGTCCACTTGAATCTAACTAGACCCCTCCCCTTGCACCTGACACTGATTTAAGGAGGTTCCACTCGATTCGAGTCCAACTTGATTTTCAGGACAACAAACTCACACCCGCACACATTTACATATGTATAACATTTTTATTAGGTAAAATATGGGCATAATTGAAATACACATATATATTATGTAATTATCTGTAAATATATAAGTGATAATTATAATATTTTCTTGTGTCAGGTAAAGTTTTCTCACCCTAAACTCGAACTCGACATGACCTAATCCTTCAAAACATTCAATCCACACGAATTTTCAAAAATTAACCCTACATAATCGAGTCGAGTCAAAATTTATCGAATTTAAATCAAATACTCATCCCTAATTCATATCATAACACTCAACAACAATTTCTATCAATCAAATGATAATATTAATATAATTTAAGAGTTTAAAGACAACACTAATACAATTAAAATTGATAATAATCACCAACAACCAGTTGATCTAGTGGGATGAGGCACTAGGTCCCTTAATTAAAGTCAGGAATTCGAAGTATGGCATTTGTGAAGGGAGCAATATGGGTTGGGAGGGTCTTCCTCTCATCTGTAGTACTCGATCTGGATTAGTCAGTCAATAAATCAGATACTAGTGATTAATTAAAAAAAATTGATAATAATCGAATATAAATAAAAATATCTTTTTAAGTCTAATAATAAAATGTATTTCAATCACAATATCCTTATGCAAGTATTGTTATTGGGAGATTCGAATCTTTCTTCTTAAAGAATAGTATTTCTCAAATTATAAGCTAAGGAGTATGATTACAAATTAAGGGATACCTAGCGGAGTTGATACATCATGTTCTCCCATGTCTTTTATTTTAATATTAACAAATAACATTAATTATTTTTTATATAATACAAATATAGAAAAAGTTAAATACAATATTATGAGTTGGTTTTCGATTTAAATTTTATATTATTTAAAAGATTAACCGTAATAATTAATTTCAACGATAAATATTTATATTATTTATAAAAATATTATTTTAAGACAAATCCAACTGGGATTGCGACATCCTTAATAAAAGTCAAAAAGGTATGAACACGTGGTGGCCAGATAATAGCGAGTTCGTTGTGTTCCCTATACTCGAACTTACTTCATCGCACGTTCTTTATAGTTTATAACAAACCCCGTTTATAGCAAACCCCGCGGATAGCGGCGCGTGTCCGGAAAGTGGCGCGTGTCTCTATACACATTACTTAAAAAAAACGGCCTCTCTCTCTCTGTTCTTCTATAAAAACTGCTGAGGAGTTCGACCTTTGCTTTGTCTCTACGACATCGTTTCCTTGTATTGCGGAAGTTGACTGCTTTAAGACTTCTTTTTTACCAATGATTCTCCCCTTTTAAGTCCATGCTTTCTTCTGTAGGCTTTCTCGTCATGTAAATTATAGCAAAAAGAAGACTTTTGGTTTGTTTTTCTAGCTTGGGTATCTCTCTATCGATCTGGGTTTTGTTTTTTCATGCAATGATGAAGCCTTTCGATTGTATAAGTTCTCTTGAGAACTCTCCGTTTCATTCATTTATGGGTCTGCAAAAGGTTCTTCCTTTTCTTTTTCGTGATTTTCTGTTTAAATTTTGCTTCTTTTTCCCTCTTCTTCTTTTGTTATCAATGTCCATTAGTACCTCATAGGGTCCTGTGGTTTCTGAAAATGGCAGTTATGTATGTATGTATATATTAATATATGTATTTGGCTTTTCTTGTGATTATAGTTTAAGATATTATAACTTAGTAAAGTGGGAAGGATTGGTTAATTGGTATTAAGTAATTGGTAGTTCCTGGTTGGTGTTTACCATGAGAAGAAAGAGCTAGTAGAATTCACATGTTTGAATTTAATTGTTTTGAAAATGGCAGTAATTTTGACATACATACATACATACATACATACATGCATACATGCATACTTGAGTTTGCCAGTTTTGGATTGCATTGTTTATTTTACAGCAATGATGTTTGAATGATTCATACTTTTCAAATTGCTTGATTTTCAGTTGCTGTCCTCCTTGTCCCTTGTTTTATGTTTTTCATGTTTTGAACAATGGCGATTGATCGATGGTTTCTTAGACAAATTTCGTTGTTGCATATACACTTTGTAGTGTATAATAAAACTCGGAAGCCACTCTTCATAGGACGTCTTTCCGATTCTCCTCCGTAAAATTTGAAGTGTATCATGAAATGTGATTCTAAATTCTTCTGCTTAAATGTTCCATTACCTTGCAGGCTTATGTAGTTTCAGAACCGAAGAATAAGAGGTCATGTCTCTGCAATCTCTTCATCGTCGCGTCTTTGATTTGCAGTGCTTACTTCATTAGTAGTGCGATTATCACTAAGGAATACAAAGATGTATGTATTCCTTCTTTTCGAATTTCTTGTTGAAGTTTGATTGTTAACAATTCATGGATGTCTTTTATTCGAACATCTGTAAATCTATGTATACAGAGATTATCGAGTTGGGAGGTGATTAATATGCTTCAGAATTCAAAATCCGATACGTGCCAGGTCAGTTGTCTTTAGGGGAAAGAGCTTTGCCGCTCGTAAAATCTTTTGAAATGTTCTCCATCTCTCGAAATAATTTCCTTTCCCTTGTAGATTCAATGCAGGCCTCCGGGGAGTGAGGCGTTACCTCAAGGCATTGTGGTCAAAACATCAAACTTGCAAATGCAGCCATTATGGCACAATGGTGTAAACAACGTACCGTCGAAATACTTTACTGTAAAAAAAAAGGTCTAGAATTAGATGTTGTGATGCCGGTTGATCTTATTTGATTGTCTTCTCTGCATTATACTGCAATTTCAGGCCAATCCCGAGCCATCTTCAAACTTGTTGGCCATTGCTGTCGGAATAAAGCAAAAGGAAATTGTTGATCGAATTGTTAAAAAGGTGCCTCGAGTTCTCCAATGCTCTTTTCAAGCTCACTAATATCTTATTATATTTAAACTTAATAACGATCATTCCGGTGCAGTTTCCGGCAAGAGATTTTGTTGTGATGCTGTTCCACTATGACGGTATTGTGGATGAATGGAAATATTTCGAATGGAGTGATCGGGCCATACATGTGTCTGCAATGAATCAAACAAAATGGTAACATTGCTTTTACCAAGATGTTTATCTTTGCCGAAAGCTTCTTATTAATGCTAATCAGCTACTATCGTACTTTGTTGCAGGTGGTTTGCCAAACGTTTCTTGCATCCGGACATAGTCGCTCAATACAAGTATATATTCCTCTGGGATGAGGACCTGGGAGTAGATAACTTTGATCCAATCCAGTATGTATTCATGTCACCGTAACGATGTCTGAATTCACAATCATGCACACACATGTAACACTGTTTCTGTTGATTCGTTTCAAATGGTGCTTAAATCGTATTAAAAACCTTGTGTAGTTATTTGTCTATTGTTGAAGACGAGGGACTTGAGATATCACAACCAGCACTCGATCCTGTTAAGTCGGAGGTTCATCATCAGATCACCGCACGCCAAAGGAATTCAAGAGTGCACAGGTTAGGGGGAAATTAAGAGTTAAAACTTCGCTACAACATATGATGTTCTTTAATCTCGCTCGTTACGACATTTATGATCCATGTTGTTTGAATAGAAGGATATACAAGTTTAAAGGCAGCGGAAGGTGTGATGGTCGCAGCACTGCTCCTCCATGCATAGGGTAAACTACTACTAAATTCACGGCCCCTTTCATATAGCGACAACCTGTTGCATCGATTATTCTTAAGCGGTTAATTTGTTATGCTTTGCAGTTGGGTGGAAATGATGGCTCCCGTATTCTCGAGAGCCGCCTGGCGCTGCGTATGGTATATGATCCAGGTACGAAGTACTTTCATATTGCCTATTCAAATATCATTGCTTCATGTACACGTAGTTGTGTACCGAACTGCACCATTTTCGGTTTTACAAGAACCATTTTCTAATCTTTCATTGACCTACAGAATGATTTGATCCATGCTTGGGGTCTCGATATGCAGCTCGGTTATTGTGTGCAGGTAAATTTTCTAAACCTGATAGCATCCTTGTCCGATTCTCGTCGGCATTCCACTGATATTCAACCTTCATTCAGGGCGATCGTATGAAAAATGTCGGAGTCGTTGATGCTCAGTATGTAGTTCATTTCGGTCTTCCTACCCTTGGCGTTAAGGATGAAAACGAGGCAAGTATTTCATCGGAACAATTTAAATGGAAGGGTCTTATCTTTGGTCTAGACAATATTACCCGACATATGCACGTCGGATTTCACTACTAATCTCTACAGTCCATTATCTTTTCGGCGATGCAGTTAAATTCCACGGAACTTATTATTACTCGGAAGGAGCACTTACCTAAATCGGAATCACCGGTCTGTTTACGTAACCTGAATTTTCCCGACCTAAAAGTCTTTTAACGATTTGTAAAACCGTTCATCTTTGAAATTGCAGGCACCATCCGAATCCCGTAAAGTCGACAATAGACCTGAAGTAAGGCCACCTAAACATAGCTTAAGACATATATGTATGCATTTTTGTATGTACGTACGTACATATAAATACGTACCGAATGTGCAACCGTATTGGTGTAAACTATACCATGCTAATGTTTGCAGGTAAGAAGACAGTCCTTCGTCGAAATGCAGATGTTCCGAAGAAGATGGGAAAATGCTGCGAAGGAGGATAAATGTTGGGTTGATCCTTACCAACAATCAGCTAACGAAAGCACCCACTAATTTATTTATTTAGGTCTAATTACAGTTTTCATCCCTCTACTATATTGAAAGATGAGATTTATGCCAAATGGAAGTACAGGGATTAAATATCAAGTTTGAGTATAGTAGAGGGACCAAAACCAAATTTGACCCTTATTCATCTGGTCATTGAGTTCTTTTTTATTCATTTATTTTTGCTATGTAATAGATCATCTGTGCTTGTCAATTTTTGGATTTTGGATGTTATTCATTATTCATTAATGTCAATAACATAATGTAAATGTAAAATTACATTTTGATCCCTAAAGTATTAAAAATTGCATTTTGACCCCTGTAAATTAACTTTTATGTTGACCCGAAAAGGTTTTCCAACATTGTCCCAACTTACACGGAGATAAAAGAATTAGGTGATTGCTTTACAATCTAACATAATTTGATGTAGACGTTTAAAGGTCAAATTATGATTTTGGTCCCTTGGTTATGCTTAAATTTGAGATTTAATTCACATATTTCAATTTGGTATACTTTGTTTGTTCCTTGGTTATTCGAGTATTTCTTGTAAAATGGTATTGTAGAATTCCTTATTTTTATAATATCATTGATTAGTTTAAATAAATATCACTACTTAGCTATTCTTATTAAAAAGTTGAGATTTTTTTTATTTAAAAAAACCTGAATTAACAATCGTGTAATATTTCTTATCCGATTCGGATATTCGGTCGAATAGATGTTACATTATTCATAACAAGGACCATTCGAAAACAGGTATAGATATTGTTGGTTAAGTAAGGATATAATTTCGAGTTTCGATATTTTAAATGTTTTTAAAATAATTTAAGTATCGATACTATACAACCAATGATAATAAACCGAGGCCAAAAGCCCAAAAGAACTCAACATATATGTTTTTATCTTAGTGTCAAAATAATGGTAAAAACGGACAGTATCACTTGAAAACCATGGCCTAAGATCGCACTGATGGGAAGAACTTGTTGAGATTGAAGGGCAAGGAATAGAACTCCTCGTTTCTCGGATCCGTTTTTTTTTTTTTTGATAGAAAGGCCCCATTAAAATCCTCCTTCAATCCCTCCATGTTATGAGAGTAACATGAAGGAACAACGAAGGAGGAAAAGAGAGCCAAGAAAACTTTTATTCACAAGAACCAGATTACAAGCTTGAACAAACTCCTACACTTCCAACGGAAGAACATAAAACTTAACACAAACATCCAACAAAACAGGGAGGAACAATTCCTGTTAAACAACACAACTATAACCAAAATCACCCTATCCCATCTTTAGCAAGTTTATCAGCTTCCCAGTTTGCCGCCCTTGAAGTATGCCTAAAAATAATATCCTTTCCAATCAAAAGTGAAATTATATCCTTCACCAAGGATAGATGCAAAGGAGGGGTTAAACCCGGATTCTGAATCCACTTCAGAGCGTTAGAAGAGTCTGATTCCAAGATAACTCTTTGATTTGCGACAAAATCCAACTCCCCCATAAGACAAATCCCTCTTTTGATAGCCAACAGCTCAGCCAAAATAGGAGGACCACCCCCTACTGCTTCAGAAAACCACTGAAGCAATAGACCTCTGCTATCTCGAAACAGACCACCAATACCTCCTTTTTCCCAACCCGAAACCATCGCTCCATCAACATTTAACTTTAGAAACCCCTCCGGTGGAGGAACCCAGCAAGCAGGTTGAGAGCAAACCTTTCTTGATCTACCAATCGAGTCAGCAATTTTCAAATCACCTACTAGAGAATCTAGAGGAATACCCACATCCTTGAAATGAGCACTAAACCAGGAAGCCACTCTGAATCTAACAATGAAAGATAATCTGACCAAATCCAGCTTGCCTTTCTTAAAGATAATCTCATTTCTACATTTCCATACTGACCACATCACTGCCCTAGGAATGAATCTCCAAATCAAAGAGTTAGTCATTAAATCATCCCACAAAATTAGAAATTCCATTGTACACTTTGGAGTCACCAATGACACATCCCACATTTTCAAGAAGGAGGACCACAGACCCCACACAACCCTACAATGCAGAAACAGATGAGAAACTGATTCCACCTCCCTACCACACAGAACACAACGTTGGTCAACAATCTCTGCAACACCTCTCTTTGCTAACTCCTCTTTAACCGGTACTCTATGTTGTACTAGTTGCCAGACAAACAATTCCACCCTTGGAGGAGCTAAACCAGACCAAATAGTCTTATCCCAATTCACTTGATTTTGCTCAGAATCACGTTGTACATAAAAAGCTTTTATACAAGATTTAGCTGTAAAATTTCCTTCACCATTCCCTAACCAAATCCAACAATCATCTGCAGTGGGAAAAGGAGAGGTATTATTCAACATAGAAATCAATTGCATCCACTGTTCTACTTCCCAATCAGCCAAATTCCTTCTCATTTGGATGTCCCACACCCAACCCGAAGCATTATTTTCCCTAAACTCTTTCACTTTACCCGATTTATTAATTGAGAGAACATAAAGTCTAGGAAACAACGATTTCAGGGGAACATCACCCAACCATACATCATTCCAGAACTGCACATCTTCCCCTTTCCCCGCCTTCAATCGCATATTCCTTTTAAGACATTCTCCAAAATCATCACTATTGAAGAAGTTTTTCACGACACCTTTCCAAATCCACGATGCACGAGCTGGCACCGAATTCTCCAAAATAATAGATTTGGGATCCAAATTGTAGGCGGCACAAATCACTTTCTTCCACCAAGAATTCTTTTCAGAAGAAAACTTCCAAACCCATTTTCCTAATAAAGCTCGGTTCAAAAGTGCTAGATTAGGGACCCCTAGACCCCCCATATATCTTGGTTTAGAGACCGACTTCCACTTGACCCAATGGATTTTCTTCTTATCAATCGAATCCCCCCACAGAAATGAAGCCATGATAGAGTTAAGTTTGAGTATCACAGTAGCTGGGATTCTGAACATAGACATAAAATAGACCGGAAGAGAGCATAGCACCGATTTGACCAAAACCACTCTTCCCGCTACCGACAGAGAATTAGCTATCCAACCAGTCAATTTAGCATTAAATCTCGCCACTATCGGATCCCACATAGCAGCCGAATTCCTCTTGTATCCCAAAGGCAGACCTAAATATTCAGATGGAAGATATCCAACCGAGCAGCCAATAACTTCAGCCCAATTAGTTAGCTCCCCTTCTTCAACATTGATTCCAAAAATCCTGCTTTTACCTAGATTTAACTTCAGCCCCACCAGTAGTTCATAAATCAGTAACACTCTTCTAATATTCCTCAACTCACGAATGTAACCTTTACTGAAAATTATAAGATCATCCGCAAATTGAAGGTGTGACAGCTTGAATGCTCGGTCCTGCAGTCCTAACTCGAACCCCGAAAACAATCCCATATCTACTGCTTTAGTTAACAGTAAATGCAACAACTCCGTAGCCAAATTGAAAAGCATAGGTGAAAGTGAACAACCCTGTCTTAAACCTCTGGAAATATGAAATTTCTCTGTTGGAGATCCATTTAACAAGACCGAAATCTCAGCAGTTGACATGCACTGGAACATCCACGACCTCCACTTTTCACCAAACCCCATTTTGCTCATAATTTGAATCAAAATTTTCCAATCTACCGAATCATAAGCTCTCATAAAATCCACCTTGAAAACTACTCCCTTCAGCCCTCTCTTCCTCCAAAAATCAATACTCTCATTTGCAATGAAAGAGCAATCCAAGATATTCCTCCCCGGAATAAAAGCAAATTGGGACTGACTTATAATATCATTGAGATACAAACTCAATCTTCTAGCTAAGACCTTAGAGATGACTTTATAAAGACCTCCCACTAGGCTAATTGGCCTAAACTCTTCCAACCCCTCCGGATTTGCCTTCTTTGGAATAAGAGAAATAAAGGAGAAGTTAACCTCCGGCTCCCAAACCTTTCCCACATAGAAATCCCTAAAAAACCTCATCATATCATCCTTCAAATTAGGCCAGAACTTCTTAAAAAACCCTAAGTTCAGACCATCCGGACCCGGAGCTTTGTTGATATCTGAATGAGCAATAGCTTCCCAAACTTCCTCTTCAGAAAAAGGCTTCTCCAAAGCTAAACACTGACCTTCGGACAACTTGAGAAAATCCAGATTTAATTCCTCTGCCTCCAGGGTGTTTGTTTGATTATACAACCTCTTGAAAAACTCCACCACTGAAGCTTTTACTGACCTTGGGTCTTCAACAACTTCACCATCAACTTTGATAGCTTTTATGTAGTTTATCCTCCCTCTAATTACTGCACTATGATGGAAAAACCTTGTGTTCTTATCCCCCTCCAATCTCCATTTCAATCTAGACTTTTGCATCCAAATTGATTCTTCCTTCTTTTGTAACTCCCATAATTCTCTCTTTGCTTCAACAATAGAATTCATTGACACCAAAGAAGACCCTTGTTGCAATTTTATTTCCATATCCTGTATCTCAGTCTCCAAGGTTCTGATTCTGCTTGGTAATTGGAGAAAACCCTTACCAGCCCAATTTTTTGCGACATCCTTCA